AAAGCCCAACAGCCCACATGGTCTCAACCAATAACAGCAGGACTCTATGAGGCGTAATAGCGCGCGTCACTGGCTGACAGGAAGTGAGATTTCAGCGACTGTATCTGACACAAAATGCATCATAAAAATATGCAGACTCTTGTGTCTTGTAGATAAGAAGACGACGTAAAGAACTAAACCAAACATCGCAGGCTAACAACCGAGGAAATAAGCATTAGAAGTAAATATTAGCAAGATGCTAAGCATTAGCTATGACCAGCTAACCTTTCTGATGTCCAAAACCGGACGTTATGGACGATTTTCTCATCATGGAATATTTTTATTACTAATATCCTGGATTATTTTTTAATCTGTTGACCTTTAAGGACGAATAGAGTATAAATAAGTGAAGATTGGATTTATAAAACGGCTTCTGGACGCCTTCAAAGGGACGTAGCTGTGGCCGCTTTGTTTGTTTACATTTTGACATGCTGCTATATCTGTGTTAACTGTGCTTTGGTGCTCGATGTGTCCATAAAATGATCTTAGTGGTTGAATTGTGGAGAATCTAAACTTTCTAACGATGTCTAACATGTCTATAGTGGTAAATTGTGGAATTTTATTCATTTACCCCACTTAACATCCACCGGGTCGCCGGCGACCCGGTGGATGTTAAGTGGTTTTAAAGATTGATATAACACACATAAAGCCCTGAGTCCAAAGAGCTCTGATCTCTGAGGCTCCAGCTTTTAAAAGTGAAGAGAGGATTTTCACATTTTAAGGAAAAATCTGGTCTTATTCCAAATACAAACTTCTTAAAGTACTTTAAATATATTAAATCTATGGCAAGCTATTTGTCATTTCATTCTGGACAATATTAATGACAGATTTGAACTTTATTTTAAGGATGTTTTAGATGTAATTGCAGAATATAGAAAATAACTTTTTGACGATATCTTCTTCTGTAATCTTTTGCTACTGTTGGGCTTGTTTTATAACCACAAATGTTAAATTATTATGATTAAACCCTGTATCTGTTTTTTTTAAAGGAGGCAATAATAAATTTTTCTACATTATCCTCTTCCAATAAGAAAAAGGCGGTTAAACCTTTATGCTCTAAACTCAAAATATTTATGTAATTCCTTTATATGCTTCTATGTGTAGCTTTACTTAATCACTGTTAGTATTTTTACGTTTGTTCAGTTATTTTTTTATTTGTTATTGCTATTTTTGTTCAAACTGGCGATTGTTCTTTGGAAAGTGTCTCTAATAAAGTTAGTTAACCTCCTTACCTCCACCAGCGTGTATGTGCAGGTTCCCATGAACGTGAGCATCTCGCCATCAAAGGTGTAATAGTGCGGGTCTCCAGCAACGTGACACACACCTTTACCTGGGGAGCGTTAAGAAGGGATTTCAGTGAGACCGACCCTCTGGGATACTAGGACTGTTGCTTGTAGTTCAGCTCTATGTGTTACCTGTGGAGTGGCAGCCCAGGACGCCTTCCAGCACCTTGCACTCCTGTGCAGGACTGCACTGCCACGGCTCACAGGTGATGTTTGCGTTCCCGTTGCATTTACAGCGCTCCGAACAGTCGCTCTCTGTGAACCAAGCGTCTCCCACCTGGACAGAAACATGTTAAACTCACTTATATGGGGCGAAGGCCACAACGTTTGCTTGAAAATATACTTTTTGAAACTGAAAAATATTTTTGAAACTGAAAAATTTGGAAAAGAAACAAAAACTTCAAATAAACAGGAAACTGGTTTGGAAGGATTTTCTTTTATTAAACCGATCAGATAAACATAGAAGATACATTTCTGGTTCCCACGGTTCCAACAGCAATCAGGCATCTTTGCTGCCAACTTTCATCTAAGCCCCGCCTCCACACAGAGGGGGAAAGACTGACTTAAAAAGTAGAACAAAACAAAAAAAAAGTTTTAATAGAAGTTTTAAAAAATTTTAAATATTAAAATCTCCTTTTCAAAACTTTTTTTTGTTTCCTTTTTTCTTTATTTCCAGTTTCAAATATATTTATTTCTATGGAAGAAGGTTAGTGCCACTAGAAAAAATTTTAAAGTTAACAGATTCAGACTTTAATCTTAGAATTCTGAAAATAGAACAAAAAAAATCTGTTAATTTTTTTTTCAGTGGCCCTAATGCTCTTCCGAAATTTTGCTATTCATTTCTTTTTTGTCTATTTTTTTAAATTTTTTTTAAAACTTTTTTTCTTAGTAAAAAAAAAAAAGTGTAATATTTATGGTCCAACTTGCAGTCAAACGTTTGGACACCTACCGGTCTGTACTCTCCGTCTGCGTCTGTACATCCACACTCGTTGAAAGGAACACATTTGTCTCCGCTCAGGACCAGACCCTCGTTGCAGACGCAGCCCTCCACGCAGGGGAGGCTGCAGGAGCCGCCGGGCCCGGCGGGGTCCTGACAGCTGGGCTGAGCGCAGGCAGGGGCGCAGGGCTCGTAGTGACTGCCTGATGGGCACTTCAGGGCTGCAGGAGAAAAAGGGTTAAACCAAGGAGCTTATTTTTACCCTGAAGCTCATCAATTCACCTTTAAAGCTCAGAGATCGTGAACAGGTAGAGGGAATGAGATGAGTGAGGCAGACTTACGGCAGAAGGTGTTGTCTCTCCATGCGATGGGGACTCCTGCAGCAGCACAGAGGTCGGCGTAGCTCTCGATGGCCTGGCACAGAGCCACGGTCTCGCCTCCGGTGGCGCACATGTCGTACACGCAGTTGTCAAAGTAGGGTTCAGGCGGGACGACCAAGAGGCATGGCTTAAAGATTCCTGAAGCCAGAAACAGAACGAAGGAGATTCATGAGAAGCAGGATCGACTTTAAGAAGATCGGCCTAAACTGTCAGATATTATTATCAGAGCAGGGTAGTAACTTTATCTGAGTAACTAGCTTCATCTGGTCTGTTCCTGTTTGGCTGTGACTCCATCCTGGAGAGAAATATCAGCTGTGCTGCTGCCATCAACACCTTTGTTTCTAGATGTTGGAGCTTGGCCTGTTTTCCAGTGTAGTCCTGTTTCTCTGACTGTGACTAACTGGATGTGCTCTCTTCATCCTCTGACATGGGAGCTGGCTCGGAGCTCGTCTGCCTGGCTGTGTGTTTCCTGGACGGGGCCGCCTGTGGAGCTGGTTGACAGTTGCCTTTTGTATCTATGCTTCTTTTTCTATGTCTGCTTCTGTCTCCTTGAACCCCAGTGGGCCTCAGCAGATGGCCGCTCACACTGAGCCTGGTTCTGCTGGAGGTTTCTTCCTGTTCAAAGGGAGTTTTTCCTCTCCACTGTCACTACAAGCATGCTTAGACTCTTTTGGTCCAAAGTAACTTCGGTTCAGTTGAAAAACCTCCCAGCCGGTGATGGACTCGATGGAATGAGTATTTTTACTCTTAAAATAATATATTTAGATAAAATGCACTTGAAATAAAACAATGCAATTGTGTTTTATTATTTTGAATGTAAATTTTCTTGTTCCATTGTCAAAATTTATCTTTTACCTCCTCAATTCAAGATCAAATGCACTTATTTGAAGAATAAATGACTTATTAAGATTTTGTTTTGTTTTTTTCACTGTGCCTATATGGATAGAAATCTTTTTCCTTTTTGAGAAATGAAACTTTTAATTGCCTGAATTTGGGTCCAACTTCAAGCTCCCAAAATCACAACACTTTCTGATTCTGACCTTTTATAGAACCCTGACCCGTTCTGATGTCTGAAAAGTTCATTGGTTTGTGAGGATGGATCTATTTGAACCAACCTTCTGGATTAATGATCATTCCACAGCTGGTGGGCTTCTGGGCCTCTTCCTCCACGTCTTCGTCACATTCCTCCTCCTCTCCACCATTTGTGCAGCTAAAGAAGCAAAACAGGGATCATGTTTCTAAAGGTGCATCGTGAGTTTTCTCCATTTGACATTTTGACTTTATAGCTGCATGAGATCTATCTCAGCCTGATGTCTAAAATCCTCGGCAGCCGAGATATTTAGGTTAAATTGGAGCTGTCAGCAGGTCTCGTCCTATTGGCTGATTTCATCATCAATCACCCCAGGTTGGTCAGAAAAAGGATTTCCTGTTGAGCAGGAGATGGAAAGGAGGGGTAGGAGGGTACGTTATGATGTCATCACTCACTCTGGACGCGGGTCGGCCACCTGCCAGCTGTCGCCGAGGTCGTTGGTGTTAGAAGCTGCTGTGTTGTCCGGTTTCAGGTTGTCATCTTTGGGGTCCTCGTTGAAATTTCCTGTCAGGAACAGAAAATGTTTTTTTAAGTAAAAAATAAGCTTTAAGGGATATTTAGTTTGTTTTTTGAAAACAACAAAGAAACTTACTAAAAAGTTACATTTATTTTTACTTAAAGCCAAAATGTGTGCACTTTACCCCCATCTAGTGGGCAAGAAGTGCGCTGTAGTGCTTCACCCTTAAGAACATATGAACTACTACAGTAGCCGCGGAGGGTCATAAATGTGATAATATTAGCATCCTGTTCAAGTTAAAGTCTCATTTCAGTGTGTGACGCACAGAACGCTACTTAGTTCTGTGTCTTTTATGTTCATGCCAATAAGTCACTGCTAATAGCTAACAACTATTGCTAATAGATAGCAGTCACTTCTTTTTTATTTTTTTATTTCGCAATATAGCTCTGGGAATAGAGGTCCCAGAGAGAGCAGCCACGGCTAATACCTAGAATCTACTACCTTTAGCTAGTAGCCACTCCTAAAAGCTGCTGCTAATAGTAGCTACTTAAAAAAGCTAATATTTACTGTAGGCTAGTATGACTTCTCTGAAGATTAACATCAGTTGATAGCTATTCGAGCGTAGCGGAGTGTATGCTAACAAACAAACTAGCCACTCCTGCTGGATGTACGGATTAGTAGCTGTCCTGTTTCTAACATAACATAATGGACACCGAAATTTCCCTAAAAAAGTAGTGATCATCCGTGGTCACTAGACAAGCAGATATATATAGGAAGGCTTTGCGCAGAGAGCTCTCCTCGCAAAGGATTTGTTATCGCGTTGAATAGCAAAGATGGCGCAGGCACCGCGCGGGGAAACGGATTTACGTGACCAACGGGGAGCAAAAAGAAGTGGTCATCTGTCTGAACAATCAGTTAACTGAGTTCACTATAGAGTTCACCATATAGTTCTTTTTTTTTATTTTGTATCTTTTACGTCAGTAAAGAATGTGAGTATTTGTGACACGTCGGAGTGCTAGCGTGTTTCTTACCACACATGCCACAGAGTAGGCCGTTGTAAGAAGTCGGTACGGTGACATCTGCATGGTGGTTACCATCGAAGCGCACCCTCAGGCCAAAAGATGTTTCCAGAACTACAAATTTCCCACTCAGGTAGACATCCACCCCGCTGGTGGGGGTGACTGGTGTTACAGCCGCCTTCCCGTTGACCTGAAGAGCAACGTCAGATTTGTCTGCCATGATTGAATCACTGCACCGACGTCTGTGAGAATCTTTTGAGGAGTATGCACCTGGACTTTACGGCCCTTGTTGAGGATCACAGTCACGTTGAACACGTTGACCACCACAGCTCTGACGTAGGAAACCTTCTTGTTGCTTCCTCTGTGCTCGTTCTGGGTGTCCACGGTGAAGTACGGCAAGCCAGATGAGATGTTGCAGGGTTTGGTTAGCGTGTAGGAGCATGCTCCCATGTAGTTGTGGGTGCGCTTATCGAAGGTGGTGTAGTGAGGATCTCCAGACACCGAACAGATTCCATTTCCTGAGAATCAGACGCTATGATTTAGTCAAAACTCAACTCAGACATTTTCTCACGAGGTCATATTGTACTAACAATACAGAGCAAGAGCCGGCAAACAAGACTGCATCTCTTACTGGCCGAGAGGAGTTTAACTTGGATGGTAGGGATAGCTATGCTAACTATGCTAACTATGCTATCTATGTAGTTATCCGCTTTGGGTTAACATAACAAGTTGTGGTTTCAAAGGTTTTTCTTCTACGCATTACAGGTATGGTAAATATTTGCTAGCAATAGCTATGATAGCTATGGTAGCTATGCAGTTATTAGCTTTAGGTTAAGAAAACAAGCAGGGGTCTCAAAGGTTTTTCTTCTACACATTAGAGGTATGGTAAATATTTGCTAGCATTTGCAATAGCAAAAGGTTCAAATTAGCATTAGTGGTTCTGGTAACCGGCTGGAACACAATACAGAAATAGAACAGGTGACTGCATCTCTTACTGGCCAAGAGGAGTTTAACATGCATGGTAGCGATAGCTATGCTAGCTATACTATCTATGCAGTTATCAGCTTTAGGTTAACAAAACAAGTTGTGGTTTTTAAAGGTTTTTCTTCTACGCATTAGAGGTATGGTAAATATTTGCTAGCATTTGCAATAGCAAAAGGTATAAATTAGCATTAGTGGTTATGGTAACCGACTGGAACACAATACAGAAGTAGAACAGGTGACTGCATCTCTTACTGGCCAAGAGGAGTTTAACTTGCATCGTAGCGATAGCTATGCTAGCTCTGCTACCTATGCTAGCTAAGTAGTTATCCTCTTTAGGTCAACAAAACATGTTGTATAAAAAGTATTTCTTCTACGTGTTATAGGTAAGGTAAGTATTTGCTAGTATTAGTGTTAGCAAAGGGTTAGAATTAGCATTAGCGATCCAGGTAACAGGCTGGGAAAGAGTCCAGCTGTGCAGCAGGGGACTGCCTCTCTTACTGGCTGACGGAAGTTTAACTTGTAGCGGTCATGTTTGATAAATTATAGGCCTGTTTTAAATCTTTCTTAGGTACATTTTTGGAGAAAAAAGTGGCTAATCTAGAGCGGTTCAGTCATAGCACTGAAACAGCACTGGTGAAAGTCACTAATGATTCTCATGGTCTCGGATAATGGACTTTTATCCCTTCAATCACAATATTCTTTTAAAAAAGCTTCAAATGAGCTGTAGACATGAAAGGAATCGCACTAAGCTAATCGTGTTAATAATCCGTTTCTGTTTCATTAAGCCTCCAAGTAGTTCAAAGCATATTTTTCTGCAGGTTTATTTGATCTGGGTAAAGAGATAATTTCCCTAAATCTGAGGTGTATTTGATGCCTAGTTGAAAAGGTTTCAGTTTGAGGGTGTTTCACATACCGACAGGTCGGCATTCAAACTGCCCATCGTGCAGCTGGCAGCTCTCAGTTGTTGGTCTACAGCTGGTGTTGTAGCACTGGATCAAACCTCCACCCTGGCACTCGCATTTTTGCTCACAGCCCTCCAAGTACCAATCATCCCCGACCTGCAAAAAACAAAAACATATAAAGTATGATTTCTGCATCAAAACTAAAATTCCTATAAAGATTGTACAGGATTATAGTTTCTCTTCCACTTTAGGGTCTTTTTCTTACATTTATCAAGCAGAATAATTAGATACTGGGTCAGTTTGAGGTAATTTCACTCACAGGATGGTAATTCCCACTTGTGTCCACGCAGCCACAGTCCTTCAGTGGGACACATTTGTCATCGCTGAGGATGAAGCCTGGGTTACATTCACAACCCTCTACGCACACGTCCTCGCAGCCGGGTGGGCCGACCACGCCCAGGCAGGTTTCAGGGCAGGAGCTCATGCAGAGGGTGTAGGAGCTGTTAGGGGGGCAGGGGATGGCTGCATGGAGGAGGTAGAAAGATGAGTGCAAAACAATAGAACAGGTTATGTGTTGATAATAAAGCAGATTATGTCTAAAATAATGAAATATTTCCTGAAATAAGTTCATTATAAGAGAAAAACAAACCCGTAATCAATCTGTTTAACTACACATTTCATCTATATTAAACATTTCAGACTAACTTACTACCTTGCGAGCACAATAAATATTTGCTGCCATCAGTACGCTGATGAACATTTATCACCCATCTACAAAGGAAGCCTTACTGTAAACTGGTATCAGTCATTTTATATCCTGTACGTGTAATAAGATCTTTTAATCCTTATCTTAAATCCAGAATCTTGTTTTTTGTCAGATTATTGGCAGATACACTTCAGGAAATGTTACTTTTAATTTCGTTTTTGTGGCAAACAGTCATATTTATATACCATAAAGATTCATTATACATGGAACACAGCAAGACAACAAAAAAATCTGATTTAAAAAAAAAATCATTTTGAAAAGTATTGCAACAGGAAATTTATATGTATAAAATTGTTGAGCTGATTTTTCTCTTTTCAGTCCACTAGGGGGCGTCATGGTCTCTTTAGATGGAAGTAATCAGCAGGGATTGCTCTTCATCAAAAAAGATCCCATCGCTTTTTCATTTTTATAATCATAAAAACTGTACTAAAGTACAATGTGTAAATTGTTAATAACTTTCCTGAGATAATTACTGCCTTTAAAGCTTTTCTGTTTTTTTACTTGTCTGTTCATCCATCCCATTTCTGGGGTGGATCCCTGAAATGGCAAGACGTACATAATGTCAGGAATAGCGTTGAGTTCCAGGTTTTATACAGTAGGTTAAAAAAAGCCTCGTTTTGGCTGAGAAATCTCTGAAAAACTGAGGAGTATTTTCTCCAAACACAAAATCCCAGAACGTTTCAAACCAAACAGACCCTGAAACAGAGACTAGTTCATCCTAAAGACCTAATCTGAGCAGAGTGTCTGCAGTTCAATGCAGTGAGGAATGCTCTGATCTTTATATTGGAGAAACCAAACAACCTCTCCACAGACGCAACACTATTCCTGACATTTTGAATTGAAAAAGCTTCCTGAATGGAAGAGAAATGTCCAGTCCAGTGGATTGTTTTTGAACTTTAGTGGAATGACCATGACCTGGATGACCGAGGATCTTCACCAGCGGAAAAACTTACGGCAGAAGTCTGGAGTCCTCCAGTCGTGGACCTTGGCTCCGGCGCTCTGGCAGGCATCGGTGTAAGCTTGCATCTGGTCGCACAGTACGCTCTGCTGGCCGCCGTACCGGCACATGTCATAAACGCAACTCTGGAAGAATGGAGTGGGGTCGACAAGTCCGATACAATCCCTGCAGAACGCAGAAACACATGCTGGGTTTAGGGGGGATTTAAGAAGTACTCACTGAAGTCTCCCAAACACCCAGAAAGAAAGATTGATGGAATCATTTAAACATGAAAACCTAATAATAATTAATAAGACTACTATTAAGCAACATATTTAAATAAATGTATCTTCAAAACCTTTCTCATTTAATGACTTTTTTTGTAATATTCAGAGTGACTCATTTTGTCTCACAGAAACCTGGCAGCAACAAGAGGATTGTATTAGAAGGGAGGTGCACAGATAGACACCTAGAGCGCCTGCTTTTTCCCCTCTGGACAGAAAAAGGCCCTTCTGAAGTAGTTTTTTGTTTTTCTTTCTTTTTTTTTTTAGTCTTTGGCCCAAAGTACCAAAGTAGAGTCTAGATTTTATTAATTTTGCTCCTTCAGATGTATAGTACCGCCTCAATACTAGAGCGTTGCCTTGGTAACTGAACAAGCAGATTTACTTCCTTCACCAACCATTTTTTCACAACATAATGTCTATAATGGCCTCCAATGTCATAATCTTGTGGATGATTGGTTTAATTACTAATTCCATTCACCTGTCTAACTTTGCATGGTTTCTCATTACTGCCCATCGATCCACCTGTTCCTGCCTCTATTTAAGCTGACTAAGCCCAGTCATCAAGGCCAGATTATTCTCTTGAGACGGTGGGGAGAGTTAAGTTAAGGCTGGTTTATTGTTAAAAGGGAGTTTTTCCTCTCCACTGTCGCTACAAGCATGCTTAGTGTGAGGGATTGCTAAAGAGTCAATGAGTCGATGCAATCAGCTGGTTTTCCTTAGATAGAAAACTTTGAATCAATCTGACTGGATGATCTGGTGAACTGGAAAAATACCTTGATATGACGTGTTGTGAATTGGAGCTATAGAAATAAACTGAATTCAAAATAGAATAAACAACATTTCAGAAGTGATCATTTTATTCCCAGTTTGTCAGGATGTAGAGACCTCTGCCTCTACTTCTATGGCTAAAGTAAATACCTGTGTTCATAGATGTGTAACCGTAGTTATGATCGTATCCAGCGTTCAGATTAAAATCTAAGATGTGATCATAAACAGAATAAAGGAGCCTTTTGAAAGCTAAAATATATCACATAATTGTTTTCTCATAAAACATTCAGGATAATAAACGCATAACTCCTCTTTATCTGGAGCATGTCATGGTTGAGAACCAACAGCAGATAGAAAGTTGCTGACACTGCGGAGAACAAAGAACTACTCCCTGGTATATAAGGATTAACCCCGGCACTAAAAGGAACCATAGACACTCCTTTGTGTTTCAGGAAGGAAAACTTTTTTAGCGTTTTTATTGTACGCAGATAAATACGCACCCATTTTCTAAGGGTGTCCTCTAAGAATGAAGATTTCTATCATTTTCTACTGTGTTTTATATGTTATTCTTTTTATTATGACAATAACTTGATGTGAACTCCTCTCCTGTTAAAAAACTCCTAAAGGAAAAGTCGCTCATATTCAGAATCCAAACTTCTGAAAGTTCTTTAAATCTGAAATGATTCCATCCTGTTCAATAAATGATCAGTGTTTTTAATTCAGAGTAATTTTCATGTGAATGTGCTTTACTGGAGGCATCCATGTTTGTCAAAGAACACTACTGCCACCTACTGGTTAGTGACATTGTCACGGTGCGGTATCGGCTGTTGATCAAGTCCCAGTGCTGTATCTGGTGTTTGTCACAACGCGCTATTATCCAAGTCATCTTGAAAACATTCTTCTTCCAAATGTTGGCTACATATTACGGGTTTTTTCTCTGGCCAGAAGTTCGATGGCAAATCCTCCCTCTTCAAGTTGGCAAGACTCAATTATCTCAATGTTTTTTTACTGATTAACGTTAATTTATTAAATCTCTGCGAACGCATTTGTTTTAGATATAAATAATGAATCATTGATTGTTCCTTGCTGACCAGATTTCTCCTTTAAGATTTGGTCTTACCTGAACGGTCCAGATGGGTCTGTAATTCTGCCGCATTGGTCTGGTTTCACCACCTCAGCCTCGAGACTCGGGTCGCACTCTGGGTCCGGCTTCGTGCCTTCGGTACACCTACAGATTAGAGGGGGAGCTTTTTTATTTTCAGCTCGTTAAAGCAGAAGTTCTTCCACATGATGAAGACATGCATTCATTCAAAGGTGATAAGCAGATCAATCTGAATTCCAAAAAAGTTGAAAAAATCAAGCCGCTGGACTTTGTTTCCAAGTTTGAAGACATTTCTCTTCCCATCCGGGAAGCTTTTCAATTCAAAATGTCAGAAAAAGTGTTGAGTTCTAGGTTTTATCCAGTAGACCAACAGTTCACCCATCATCCAGGCCAACTATTCCCTTTAACGACCCCCCTTTCAGAGACATAGACAGGTATGGAGCATTGCAGGCTAACAAAGAAGCCAAACGACCCCCATTCCAAAGGGGGGGACCCGTTCATCCGTTTCTATTTGCATGTTTTCTAAACTAAAACCAGGCTTTGTTGGGCTGCTGGATAAAACCTGGAACTAAACGCTATTTCTGACATTTTTAATCGAAAAAATTCCTGGATGGAAGAGAAACGTCTTCAAACTGGGAAACAAAGTCCAGCGGATTGTTTTGAACTTCTGTGGAATGACTATGACCCGGATGACTGAGAATGTTCACCAGCAACAATATGAATAAACTCACGAGTCATCCTCATCCTCTTCTGTCTGCCAGCTGTTTCCAAAGTCGTTAACGTTTCCCACCAGGCTGCCGTCTGGTTTGGTGAAGTCATTGTCTGGGTTCCCATCGTAGTCACCACAGAGGCCACACATCTGGTCATAGTAGGAGCTGCAGGGACACAACGAAGAGAAAAATCCAGTCCTCAAATCCTGCGTTCTAACCATGGAGGATTTATGGGGCGTCTCAGCCAGCAGGCTACTTATGAACACATCTTTACCAACCTTGGAACGGAGATCTGAGCATAATGATTTCCATCCCAACGCACACGCAGGCCGAAGGGCGTCTCCAAGGTGACATACTGACCGGCCAGACTGATGGATATGAGAGGAGACGGCGAGTGAGGAAGAGCCACACGCCGACCGTTCACCTGCAAGAGCGTTGAATGGAGAAAATGAGTTTAACAAGAATAAGGCCCAGTCCCATTTCTCTCACTTGACTAGTTTTGGATCCTAGCACCCGGTTTTGCACGTTATTGTGAAGGGTTAGTGTGTCCCAATACTTTTAAGAGCTAGGGGGAAGTGCCCTCTAAACCTTGAAATGATCCCTTCAGACCGAGTGAGGTCGGGAGCTGACTTCAAAACAAAGTGGCTTCCCAGGACTCATTAAGTAAAAGTTAAAAAGAACTGTACAAATGTGCGTATATTTTTACAATTAAACACGCATTTAAAAATATATATTGGGACATCTTAGTTAGACGTAATACTACTGAATTCCTGACTGTTGCGTTAAAAAATTAATATTGCAAAATCGCTATTTCTCGTAAAACACAAGTTTTTTTATAATGTAAAGTAGGATGATTATGGCCGCAGTAGGGTTGGTTGGATGTTCAGGCTCCAAAGGGTCAGTGCTATCTAGCTCACGGTTGTTGATCTAGCCAGGGCTAGCGATAGCCCGTCTACGGCAGCCAGGGCTAACGATAGCCCGTCTGCGGCAGCCAGGGCTAACGTTAGCCCGTCTACGGCAGCCAGGGCTAACGATAGCCCGTCTACGGCAGCCAGGGCTAACGATAGCCCGTCTGCGGCAGCCAGGGCTAACGTTAGCGCGTCTACGGCAGCCAGGGCTAACGATAGCCCGTCTACGGCAGCCAGGGCTAACGTTAGCGCGTCTACGGCAGCCAGGGC